TGAACTCTAAACTTCAAATGTCCATAAAAAACACGAAATGATGTGATCCGCGAAACGAAAATCACGTTTGTGCTAGATTTGTTATCTACTTTTACTAAATCTAGATTTTGCCATGTTTAAGAAAAAAACATTGTTTCGCAATGACAATTTGCAACCACGTTTGTACTGGACTGTTACGAAAACATTTATTCTGTGATTGTTCAATCCATAAATTTTAGTCAATTCCTTTACTCGTCTGTCTTCGTTTCAAGTCTCTAGTAGCGCTAGCAAAACAAAATAAACTTAATAAGCATTTCTTGCACAATTTAATTCATAGCAAATTACGTCCTTATCTCAAGTAAAACGTCGATACCAATTTTCGAGGCAGCGATATTTCCAATCACTTTAAAGAGCAACATCGACAATTCGCTCTTACATAAAATGAACCAACTCGTTCGAGTGAAACGCTCTAAAAGACGGTAAATAATTTCAACTTTTAAATGGAAGAAAGCCCACCGACGATTCATCCACGGTAGGTAATAAATAAAAACAAAAATACACATTTCTGTCTCCGAAAATGTAACATTCTAAACGCGCTTCTCATTTTTACATAGCATTTAAGGGTACAAAACATAAAACATATCACTGTCATATTCGGGCCAACCCAATTTCTTCTCATTCTGAACGAATGCCAACAACCGTATATTACGTACAAACGACGTTAAAAGCCTCAACAGTGCTTCATCGAGTTTAGCTCGCCTGATAATCAATCTTTTTACGGTCTGAGACAAGCCGTGACCGACGACGTCCACTTGTAGTAATCCTGCATAAATCATTAGATGGCGCTGTGTCCAAGATGACCATTATCCTGTGGAAAGCCCGCAAGATTCTTCCGTACGTCATCCGTCTTGCTTCCCATGATGTCCAAATCTGTCGGATGATTTTAAATCTGTCCGCAAACAAGCGAAATTGGACACTTTTCGGCTGAAAAATGACAGCTGGACTTCGATTCAATAAAAGTCAAAGTGAAAGAAAGTTATGTAGCTAATTGGCGAGTGTGGCATATTCATGAGTCGTGAGGCTTCTTATTATACAGGAGTGTATGTCTGATTTTAATATGACAAGCTTTTAATCTTCCTTAGAGGATTCGAGTGCGAGGTCGTTATATTTAATGAACAAGATGCCGCGGGTAGACATATGCGAAAGTGATCTATCACCAGCTTCCCATTAATCATCCGACACTAGCTCAAGAACGATGCCCCTCAAGTAAGGACAGTTTAATGGATTTTCTCCCAGCTTCTTTGATTTTCAAAAAATATATATTCGGAGTCTGAATAAAATCGATCGTGCTGATATCAACTCTAAGCTCTCTCATTCTCAATACATAAACATTCATAAAATGCAGAATTTAAATGAAATTGGGACCCGGCAGCGTTCATGTCCGTAAAACTGTTTTTATTATTTCGAATTTTCGAGCTTTACTGCGTGATCAGATGAAGTGGATAAATTCACGACTATTAACATGAATTTTCGGCTGCCGCTACATTGTGTCCCTACTATACCTTGCTTTTTCGTAGACTGGAGACGACGCGACGTGAGTATAGATTCTGGTCATCAATTTATTTCAAACCCAGTTAATATTAAAACATTATAACTTGAAGTTGTCTGTCACTGCTTTAATTTTGACGCCAAATACCACTTAGCCATCATTACAACTTTACTAAAAAATGAATATTTTAATCACCTCTAAAATTCACCCTAGTCGCAGGAATGTGAAGACAGGTCGAGAGCTGTTAGAATTCCAACATTCCTCAATTTCACATTATTACTAGCTAATATAAAACCGTTTCAGCTTTCCCTTATTAATTCAGTGGGGTTACATATATTTTTAAATTATCAGGTTCAACGTATCGATCTCAATCTATGAACGAGAAATGAGATAGGGAGGGTAAAATAAAACTCATAAATTAACATTCATGTATTCATCCCGTCATGAATACCAACCCTAGTTTTAAAATTTTCATCAGCAACTATTGGTTTTTTCTTTCCGATAATGTTTCGATGAACAGGGCTCCAAAAACACAGAGAGATAGTTATTTGACCAGTCATCGAATACAACTCACTATCAAATCTAACCGTTCACTCTTCTGTGGGACATAATTAAAAACAAAATAAGAACTTCCAATACAAAGGGTAATTTAGTCCCATGATGAAAATGACTACCCGCTTCCTCCTCCATTTATCTTTTAATTTATCATTACGTCCTTAAAATTAGTGGCCACCGAAGCAAAGAAAATGTAAGCGTAATTAAAAAGAAACAATTATTTTCCGTCCATTTATATCTCGTCGTATACAACCCCTGATTGTTCAGAAGGAATAACGACTCCAAGATTTCCCGATAAAAAATGCGGTAATTTAAAAACAAAGGAAATTACAAGGACAAGTAGAAAATAAGATTACGTTAAAATACGTTTGCCAGCGGAACAGCATTACGTCCGACTTGATTGAAATGAAAACATGACCTCCCTACAGTAAAAGTTCATCAGTCGAGTTTAATGTAACAGAAGCCAAAGTATACACAACAAACATAAACTTTTCAAGTTAATTATAATTTTTTGTGCGTGCGTGTGTACACATCATTTGTGTTTACGATTAAAAGTGACTTGACATCGTACATTATTTAACACAAAGAGCCACAAAAGCTCACCGGGGTGTAGTCGCAGCGCAAAAAATATGTTAATTAAAAAGTATATTTAGTTCAGTCAATATAGACGCAAAAAACAGCAATGATGGATTTTTTCTAATATCAACATGTCATTCCCTTATTTTTAACTTTATTATGTAATAAATACAATTTTAATAAATTTTGTTTTTCGACTAATAACCACCGGAAACACTGTTCACGTTAATTAACTTTCCGACCAAGTTTCCGATGGACGGGCCTACACAGTGTGGTTGTTTCCAACAATGTGGGCTGTCGATTTTGGACGACGTCACAAATTTCAAATATACAAGATCGTTTGGCCTCTGTGAACGGTGTCCCATATATTATCGACAGGAATTTTCTATGGTGATAATTGCAAACATCTACAAATTTTTGTTACCCGTCACTTATCTGTCTATCCGGAATTGTATACTGTATAAGTAATTTTTAGTTTTCTCTTAGTACTGTTGTGACGACGCCATTATTTTAACAACCTGAACCAAAATACTTAAATACTATTAAATGCTAGTATATATCTGTGCAATGGCTCGTCTTAAATTTTATAGTCATAAATATGTTAATGAAACCAAAGAGTAATATACTTCCCAAAACAAATCAGCAAAACAAATTAGTCTCCTATGTTAAAACGCAACTAAATAACTCAACAATATTGTTGTCACTTCCAAAAAGAAGAAACATTTTAAAACCCATTTATTCTACGTTTTATTTTTAAATGAAAGTGTTATTCACCGGACGAGTATATTTTTAAATAAGGGTTGAATCCACCATAATATCCAGTTACATAAACAAATTACACACTTTTTTGATCAAAACAACGCGAATTATTTTTTTAAGATAGATGATCAAAAAGCGATTGAAAATGGACGCGTTAAACTGTTCCTCTCAAATATTCTAGATTCAAGTCGAGCACACAACGTGCACTTCGTTATTTTCTAGTTTTTCATTATTATTTACTCATAAAAATTACATTTAGTTACAGTGTCCATTTTTAACATTAAGTCTTGACAAATCTCAATGATCAGCCTCAGTCGTCAATACCATACGTTCAACAGTTAAAGAAAACTCGACTCTGATTAGCTAATTTTGAGCACACGTTTATCGCAATGCCGTGACTACTTACCTTGACTACAACAAGCGGTCGTAATTTGTGTATAATCCATTTAGTTCGCTGACAGGCTAAACAATAATAGACATTAATTTTCAGATGTAAGACAAAATATTGCAGCTATGCAACTCTTACTAAAAAATGGCGACTGCGCTGTGTGAAAAATCGTTTAATCTGTCCCACCGTTTGTTAATTTGTATTGCTGACATTTCTGCCGACATAAATTTAACAGTTTTCATCACATTCCAAATAAGAAAAGAACTTGAAAAAAGATGATTGATTAATTGTACTTTGCTTTCAAAATAAGAAAAGATTAATTTTCGATGACTGATTTTCAAAATGAAAATCAGAAATGAAAATACACCTTCCTAATCTATTTTTCTATTGATTTCAAAAGTTCACACAAAATATGGTATTCAGATTAAATCATATGCACAAGGCGATAACGCTCAATTAGTCAGTCATCAGTTAACCATAAATATTAATAAACTCGAACAGAAATTGCATGGTCATATTTTTGTTGAAAATCAACTGATTTGATTATTCCCAAATCATACTGACTCTAGCTTATACTTTTGCGTAGCAAATAGGGGATATTCACACAAATACGTGTTACGGACAGATACTAGCTATAACTGTTGATTGTAAAAAGAAACTTAATTAAGACATAAAAATCAGACAGTTTGCTGTATTTTTGATGTGAAGCACAGAAAAAAAACTGATTGCAGAATTAGAATCAGCATGTCCAACTTAATAAAGTCTTTATATTCTTTTTCTGAATGGTTTTTGTTTGTAGAGCAGCATATTTAAGCACACTTGATAAGGCGAAAATCCGTATGTCTGCTTACAAATTAAAATAAATATACATATACAAACAGCAACAGTCGAAGATTGGCGCGAAGTCGTCATTTAGAGTTCCGAATGAATTTGTTAATAAAAGAAGACGAAGAAGTAAAAGTCGTCTGTCAACCTGAACTCATTCGCGAATATTATTCGTACAAGACGTGAACGCAAGCATCACCAGCAGTCGTCAACTCGTGAAATGCATATTAAGTTTTAGCGTTTGTTTAGACGAAGAGCGCTATAAAGAAAATATCATTTAGTCGGTGATGGTGCATGTTTCGACGGCGCGCGCGTCGTCACTGGGTCGAACGTCGGGACGCCTACCAGAATGTCAGTGGGCAGCTCGAAGCCATCCGACCTAGTCGACGCCACTCTGATGCCGGCCGGATTCGTGCACATCAGCAGTCGGTGAAACGTGAACTTTTCTTCGGGCATGTGACCATCAAGAGATGTCGCACTTGGTGCTAGTTCTTGTGCTTGCGGCAGCAGTACGGACGGGCGCGTGTCCCGACATGTGCACGTGCACGCGGCATCCTCTGCAACCCGATCAGACTTCCGTACTGTGCGAAGGTTTCCCGGAGAACGTCACCCAATTAGACCGAGCGACATATGATCTGACACTGGCTAATCTCGACGAGGAGGAATTAGGAGCCATTATCGAGAGTCTAGCGGAAATTAAGCTGCCATATCTCGACCGGTTAACAATCGAGAGGAGCGTGGTTCCGGATTTAATGAATCTGACTTTTGGTGACTTTGTGGACTTGCGTTATGTTAAACTTTCGGGGAATAAGATCGCTAGTTTGGCGCAGTTGAACGGAACGAGCCTACGACTGTTGGATTTGTCCGACAATGAAGTAGTGACCGTGGAGGAGGCGTTCAGGACAATGCGTAACCTCGAGACGCTCAATCTAAGTGCGAACTCTTTAACAGTGATCGATTCGGACAGTTTTCGTGGACTTGTCTCCTTAAAGTGTTTAGATTTATCTAGTAACAATTTAACGACCCTCGAAGACGAGGTTTTCACACCACTACAATCGTTACAGTATCTTAACTTGAGCAGCAACCAAATTGAAGTTCTCAATGAGAAGTGTTTCATCAGTTTAGTGAAACTGCAACAACTTGACGTGTCTTTCAATCGCTTGGTTCGTGTGGAACTAGGTAGTCTTCAACTTCCGAGTTTAGCACGTTTACTGTTGGCCGGAAATTCGCGACTGGGTACATCACGCGAACCAGTTCTTCTTGTGGGAACAGGACAACGTCTCCAGACAGTCGATGCTTCCAATATCGGACTCGAACAGGTACCTGCTGCTCTAACCCACTCAATTCGCACCCTGCGCCTCGTGGGAAACTCTATCAAAACGGTACGTTGTGGCGACCTTGATTCCTATCCTCTGCTGCAACTTCTCGATTTCGATTCGAACGGGCTAGAATTGATTGAGGACGACGCTCTAGGCCGCCTCGACTCCCTTTCCATCCTCTATCTCACGAACAATAACATGACGGAAATTCCAAAGAGCCTCTCGGAAAAACTCAAAGTGCTCCATTTGGAACACAACCGAATCCAACAAGTGCGAAGTAAGGACATGCAAGGCCTGACCGCGTTAGAAGTCCTCCTTCTCAACGACAATAAAATTCGGCTCATCGAAGCGGACGCCTTCAACCAGCTGACGTCTCTTGTCACCCTAGACATCTCTCGTAACCCAATCAAGGTCCTCGAAGCCGGGTGTTTATCGGGATCGATGGCCCTCCAAGTCCTCCGGTTAGCGAACATCGCAGTAATCGCACCTCCAAAAGAAGTGTCATTTCCCTTGTCCTCCACTGAGCACCTGATCACGTTAGACCTCTCCGGCAGCCCGGGCTTAGCTCGTCAGCTTCTTGTCGACACTGCCGCTCTCGCCGCCTCCAGACAACTCCAAGAACTCGACTTATCCTTCACGGGATTGGACTACATTCGCTCCGATCTGCTACATTTTCTCCCACAGCTCCGAATCTTCCACATTCAAGGCAACCGAATCAACTGTACTCAGCTCGAATGGCTGGCAACTTGGATGCGGAGACAGGACGAACCGGAATATCGTAAAATAACGTGCGCTAGCCCTCCGGAACTGTGGGGAACCCTACTGGTCGATCTACAAGACACGCCGTTATCGTCCATCACCACGGAAGTCCCCACAAGCAAAAGAACCGAAGAAAGCGTCGACTTCAAATTGGTGGAAAATTTCTTCGCTCCGTTCGACGTCAACGAGACTTGGAGCGTCGAGACGACAGTTTCATCGGTTTTAACGAATGCAAATGAGAGCGCCAGAGCTGAGATTTCCCGGGATTTAGCGGGTGGCTCGAAGGAGGCGACTTTTAACGCATATAATAAGTCAGAGGAGTTGTTCCCAGAGGTGCAGTCGGTCACGTCGGACGTAGACGTTAATTCGAATTCTTCGCATGAACGCGGAGAAATGTCCATGTTCAGCGCTGGGGAGCGGGAGCGGGTACACCCGGGGATGCTCGTCCTCGCGGCAGCGATGCTGGGGACGGCCGTAGCGCTGACGATGCTGGCCGTCAGATTTTCGAGGAGGAGGAGGGCGGCGCTGAGGCTACGTCAGGAAGAAGATGTCGTCGAAGTGAGCAGTCTGCCCGGAGTGACGGAACTGTGGTGACATCTGAGGCAGGTGGACGAGGAGCGAACGGTTCTCTATGAAACTACCTTAACTTAAGCGATTGTAAGTGCTTGTGATAAAAGTGAATTATACTTTTGTATGACTGAGCCATTTTTTTACTTAAGAATTGTAAGATATTAAATATTTTAGAGAGATAATTATAACGGGACGATATTTCCAAATTCGTGGCATTAAATTACTGTGTGATATATTTTAAGTCAGTCGATAATGACGATTATTTTAGTAAAAAGATGTTGCGTTTATGGTGTGTTGTTTATTTTGTAAATTGAATTGTATAATTTATGAGTTTTTTCCAGATGTGATGTCCCGGCAGAATATAGTTTTTGCTACTAATTGTACATATTTGTCATAATAATTATATTTATATTTAATTACCAATTTGTTCTGTGTATTGTGATAGTCCCATAAATTTAAGAAGAAAATATAGACGTATTTAAAGTAATTACACCGATGTTGCTTATTCCCATTAATTTTAACTGCGATTCGATCGACATTCGTCACAGAAATAAAATCTCCGTGAAGAGTATTTGACAATTTCATTTTTTTTTTGTTTATTTAGATGCTACTAAAATCATAACTTTGTAATACAATAGAAGCTAAGATGCTACATATTTCTTTTCAGCGATATTTTCATACTATAGTTTTCTCCTTGCGCGAATTGATTAATAATATGCTAGAATTTGACAGTTTCTTAAAAATCTTTAGATACGATTCAAGAAATATATACAACAGTGCAAAATAAAACGTCTAATGCAAATTTTTGTGTTGGTAATTCTGAATTATTGGCATCCACGCGAGTTTACACAGCTGCCAATTTTAACATAAGCACGCCTACCAAACGTGTTGATTGGTTGAGACGATGGCAGGTGTCATAAATGTCACTCTGACAATCAGGTATGCCATCATAAAATTTTAAATAAGTTAGCAACCTGAGGAAAAAAATCACAAACATTAATAATCACTCGCTATTAAAAGTATATTAAGAATATAAAACTACAACGAACAACGATGTTGAAAATGGAAACCAATCAAATTATATATAATACCTGCCTTAGCTACTGATTGGGAAATCGGGTAATCAAAAAAATCTATCATCAACAACGAAAACTATAAAAAGTTTATCAAAAGATAGGTTCCACTCCCTGACTTTATAATAAAAGTAGATGGAAATACAAAATAAATAAAATTTACATACAATTTACCTTTAAAAGTTTCGCGTTATAGTAAATGCAGTATAGATTTTAAAAATTTCTGACCCTTTAAAACGAATTTATTAAACAAAACCTTCAACATTTCGAGCAACATTGTGGGTTTCTTCAAACCTAATAAAGTTAAATGACCCTAACACAATGGATGTCACGCTTGCAAGCATGTGTTAGGAGCATTAAATTTATTAAACATGAATAAAGGCAGAATACTGCCTAAAACGTTGTCTCTTGTATTTAATAAATTGCTGCTACCACCGAGGAATGTTTAGTTACTCAAACAACTGTGGCAGATTTGAATACATTTTCTCATACGTTCACCTAATATAAGATAATTACTGTAATTTGAGCAAATAGTGAAATATTTTTGCTTGCAATAAACCTAAAATTTAATTTATAATTGCTAACAACGCGGAATGGTACAACTTAACCCCATTTTTTCGTATAATAAAATTAACACTTTTCAACAACTCTGGCAAAATGTCAATTATACACAACAGTATATTTCGATACCTTTTTTCTCTCAAAAAAACAGTTAACTTGATGAATTTTTCAATTGAACACCCGTTATCTACTTAGCTTTTTCGTTCTTCGTATGTATAATATTTTAAATTAATAATATCATAATTAAAAATAAAGGGTTTATGTGAATGAATACCTCGGAGCTCTTCAATACCTAATTTAATTCATACACAAAACCGTACAGAACAGCAAACAACAAAGCAACAGATCCAAACAAATATGGTTTGCAGTTATTTGTGTTCATAAAATTACCATTTGCTGTTTGAAATTCATTTGCAGCAAATTCAAAACAATAAATACAACGTCAGTTTTATTAAATATTTTTATGCTCACTTTGATTAGTTGCTTCAAAAACCCATTAATATAAAATTATAAATATTTCCATAAAATGTGCACGGTTTATGCATAAATTTAATACCTTACGTGTGCAATATACAAAGTGATTTATTATTTCGTACAATCAAAACTAGTTATTTTTAATAGTAAACACCTCAGCATCGCATGAATTGCTGCTGACATACATATATAATAAAAAATTTTAATTATACCCTATTTTAAAAGACTAGACATATTAATTTCGCAAAGGTAACGTGTACTGAGTTTACATTATGTAAAGTCATGCTCACATATATCTCGTACAGATGACAATCTAATTTGACACAACGTAAAAGTGAGGTTGCACGGGATTTGTGTGAACATGGCTATACTATGAATCTAAAGAAGTACTTATCTTATTACGGTACATTTTCGTGCAAATTTCAAAGATTCTGAGTAAAAAGCGTAACAAAATAATGTGGCAGTATTACCGTAGAAGTAAAAAACAAAAAATACAAACCAATTTGAAGCAAAAATTTTCCCTCGGGAAATTTTCATTCAACATATTCTCGCGACCTCGAAAAATGCACACTTCTCGAATAAAATAAAATCAAACTTTGATAAACTATCGAAAAATCTCCCCACACGGACAAAATATAAAGTAGAAATCACTACCTTGTCATAGCTTGTCGCAGTTGCCTCAGGTTTTCAATTTCCTATAATCACCGTAACTACTCCTCTGTGTACAGTAGCGTAAGAAAAATTGAATAGCCGGGAGCAATTTTAAAATAAATTTCTCGATCAACCAACGGAGTTCTGTTTTGTTCCTTCCCGCATGTAAGAAAACGTGAAGTCATTTTGCAACAACAAAAACATTCTTTTCACAATTTCCGCAGACTATATCGTGTTTTCTACGTTTAGAGATACGCGATTACCAGCCGCGCGGAAGTGTTAATATTATCAAGTCCAGAATAACAGAGCATAGCCGTGCTTAAGCATCCGAAATGTGTGCCATCTGATGGTAATCAAAAAATAACAAAAAAATCAAATATTTTACACGTTGCGCGTTTAGAAAATATTTCCGCATCAGAGCTTATCTAATTTCAGGCAATCAGCTTTTACTTAGCAGCAAATTGAATATGCGGCTCTAGCCAGCACCAATATGGACGATAGGGTTACCGCTACCCGCCCCCTGTGACTTGTAGTTTATTATCGGTGTGTTGATCTAATATAACGTCACTTTATAGCCTTAGGCTGCTTAAGATCAAAACATTCCATAGTCATGAAGTTAGTTACTAAACTTGATCAACTCTCAGGAAATTATGTACATTACAAAAAAGATTCTGCCTAAAACGAGGACGGATTCTGAATATAGACGACTCGTGTTTCTGCATTTCGAGCTTAAAAGTGGAATACTGGAGATGATATTGCCTCGCATTTCATTAAAACGAATGTTTTATATAAAAGTTTACTAGGCAGATTTCCGCGCGGTAAGTGAAGAGACTCAATGCTGCTTGATTATAAAATGCAATAAAGTCATAAAGTTTGTGCTGGGAAGTGTCGGCTAAAAATGTAAAAAAATCAGTCTTTTTAGAATTAAGCGTAGGACATTAATTCAAATCACGTACAAAATACTGCAATCTGAACACCTAAAACGTTCGCCAGTTAGTTTAGAAAATCGAATCATACGGGACAAACTCAAGGTGCATCTTAAAATGACGTCACACTGACAACGAAACATTCATAGACCTAAGCTTTTGGAAGCTGGGTTATGGTCGCAAGAAACTTGAATAATCCTTTTTGATTAAGTAAGTATTCTTCATTGTGTGATGCTGCGGCAAGTAGTTGAGACTTTTCCCCAATTAAACTAGCTGCAACTAGTCTCTCACACAGAATATATGAGTTCTACCCGCATCCCCAATTTTGCATAATCCATAAAAGCTGCAGCATCTACATCCCTCTTTATGGGCCTGCTTTATTGCACCAAGTACAAAATGGAAGTGGCGTATCAACTAGTAAAAACCTGTTCGGTTTATATAAAACTAAAGTTCCCCATACTCTGCAGGCTTATGTTTGCTAATCTATACAATTTTCCTTTTATTGCATCTGCCATAACTCTATGCTTTATGTCTACCAATTACTTTGTAAGCTTTATTGAGTGTAATTCGCAACAAGAAATACGGAGGAAGGATTATAAAATAATAAACCCTGACGATAAACAGTAGCATAACGCCAACTCGCGACGTCACTTCCACATAAAATTCCGAAAGATAAAAATTTATTTACAGACGTTTCGTTCTCGAAACGATTGTTTTACAAGCTGATGATAAACAATAAAAACGAGTTTAGGAGAAGAAAAACTGTTATTTATAGGACAATTGCTGAAGCGGAAGACTTACCGCCTAAATCTGCGAAGAAAATGTCGCGCAACGCCAGGAATTCTTCCTCCGGTGCCATATTGTTGCTCCCAAAGCAATTATTTTCGGGCCAAACCTCCCTACAAAACAACCGACACAAAAGGTCATATAACAATCGATTATCATGTTTTGTTTAGACTGTATTTTATTAGGGTTATTAACAAAAACTCGCAGAAGCGTACAATAACAAATTCCAATTATTATTCACGACTATGTTTCTAATACAACTTGAAAAAAACAAGTAGGTAGGGCTGACAGCTCGCACGCGAGTTTGATGACTTCATTCCAGTGAAAAATACATAAAATCGAAAGAGAGTATTTATAATTTAACAAAGTCGTTCTCGTTCCGACAATATCAACCTGAAACGCTCGCGTTAAGTCAAATATCTAAGGTTACTTCCACTTGTGGAATACAGAATCTGGAAAATTTACAGCCGTTGTATAAATTATGCGACAATAATCTTAATATAGACGCTTTTACAGCGAACATTCTCCAAACAAATTAGGTCTTAATTTCTCCTCGGTGGAAAAGTTGACTGAACTAGCGGAAGCAAATGACAACCAACTCGTAAAATTTATCACCAAACTTCCAAAGTCCTTAATAAGTAAAACAAGCTTATACACAGCAAATGTAACATAACCGCGGTGTGCCTCATATTATAGTAATTAGGTGTTTAACCGTTAAGTTAAACTTAAATGCCGTGTGTTTGCGCAGGTTAATTAGTTTCCGTGCGAGACACAGAGTTTGCAAGTTATGAAAGGTATATGCCTGGATTTCCCTTGTAAATATACGGACCGAACGAAAGAAAAGAACGTTGTCAAGCCGGAAAAGGGACCGACGAATCAATACACCCTATCTTACTAACAGAAGAAACGTACCTTGCAGCACGCAACAGACTGATTGCATTCTCGAATTCACCATTTCTCAACTTCCTCTGGACGTTTTTCATGGCTTCGGACCTGTTCAAATATGCAAGAAATTAATGACAAAGAAGATGCGATGCTACACATTGGCGAATGTTATAGCGAGATTACAAAATAATAAAAGAATCATCAATCACGATGAATATTTCAATGTTATTCTTCACTATTTGGTAACGTAGAAAATGAATGAATTTAAAATTTAAAATTGTTACTCGAAAATTCGTGTATTTCTGTGTTTTTCATACTTCATCTACTGCCATCGAAACTTAAATTCAATCTTAAAAATGGATTTTTCATTAAGAGTCTACAGACTACAAAAACATTAAAGGATTTCGGATTATTCCATATGGACTAAGGTAACTTGCTATTAGATTTTTTTCTCTAAAAGTATAATTGTTCAAATATATACGAATTAATTTCTATCTTAAAAATTGACTTTTGTAATAAAATAAAAATTAATTTGTTGTTTAATAAAATATTTATTGAAACTCATTACTGTGTTACATTACATCTGTGAAGTCTGGAATACATCGACAATTAGTTCAAGAATGAAATTTGAAAAAAACCCAGAAGAGCCTAGCTTATTTTTTACGCGGATTACATTTGAAGAACAACTTTTACGTTAAGTTTTGTGTTCTATTTCATATGTTTTGTACAATAAGAAGAATGTAATTAAATCATTAATTCAAAAATGCAAAATGACATTTCAATATATAAGCAAATCCCCTCTGTTAAACCCGAGTTAAAGCTAAAATGGAAGGAATTCCACCTTAAATTTCATCAAAGGCACATAATACGTTACAGGTGTTGTGTACCGAAACACCAGTACCAAATAAAGAAACTTTAAACTCAATTATGTTATCAATTTAAAATTTTGCGATTAAGTTTAAGCAACCAACTATCTCATCAATTTAAAAGTTAATATGCGCAAAATAAGCCAGTTTTACAAATTTTTATAGACTGTAATTTATTCGTATAATTAATTTGCGAAAATTCACAACAGAATTTAGTTAGTATTTAGATAGCAGATTTCTATTGTCTCAACTGTTTCGGTGAAATGAAGAAACACATTTTAATAATTTTTTCCACAAATATTTAAAATACAATGATATCCTATACAAATTATATTGCTTCTAAAATATTTGTTGTCACGTGATTATCTCGTTACAAGTTATAAAAATAAAACAAAATATTCTGAATAATTGAAACGCAATAAGGGATTACACAAAACTGATTTGACATAAAATATTTTGTAACTGTAATTTAACAAAAGACATGTCTAACATTAATCTCGTAAAAATGATAAAGTAAGAAACGAAGATTTTATTTGTGGAACATAGCTTTAAAACAGATATTTTTTGCTAGATACGAGAAATATTATTATAGTGTTCATAAATGGTAAAGCTTTCTGAGGACTAAATTATGCTCACTGAAATATTTTTTATCTTACTTCCACATTACTACAAAAAATTGAGTGATTTTAATGTCGTCAGCACTATTGTTGGAATTTATGTACTGTCATACTCATAACTATTGTTATTAAGCTACGCCATGAAATAGAACACAAAGCTTGAAGTAAATACGCCTAACTAATTCTTGTTTTACGATCAAGTTTATCGCTTTTTTTACTTTTTGAAGGCGTGATTGATACTCCGTTATCAATGTTATCATTATCACACGTTTACCAACTTTCTTTTAGTTTTTAGGCTTCACAAAAAAAAAGCTTTTTTTTTTATATTTTTTAACTCTTCCAAAGCGCATTAAATTTACTTCTCCGGTTATTATTAATTAACACCTATTATCAACACATTATTAATTTGATAGTATTTTAATACACCAAATTAATGGAAAAATGAACTAACACGGTAACCTAGGCAAAGAACTTTTGTTAGAATTAACTAAGGTCTAATTTAAAAAAAAGCGCACGCACACAAAAATATTGAGTTGTTTAAATTGACACACGAGCCCTATAATTTAGGAACAGCAAAAACAGAGAGTGGCCATTAAAATAATTACGTTCGGTGAGTTCAGCAATTGTAGTGTCGTTATGAATCCCGAAATATGCTTTTACTTCCTTGGACGTCAAAAAAAGATTTATTTACGGTTGACCTTTTCTGTTTTACGACTCTCTTCTAAGGTGGCTATAACCCGGCATGAACAAAAATTTTTGACATAATTAAATTTGAGGCAATAAAACGGAAAGTAATTCTATTTTATGACATACTTTTGTTCGTCTATGGGAACGTCAGAAGCGGCATCAAATGGGACGACGTCTGTAGGAAAGTCGATGTTTCCTTCGAGAACGGTGGACAGCTGTGGGGCGACTCCATCCCACTGACTGTCTAAATTTACATCTGGTTGTGCCACGACAGCATCCTGGGTCGCTATAAAATATAAATTACAAATTAACTCTAGCCACTTTAGCTCCAAGTAAAATATCATGTTGTAACAGGAGCGTTTTAACTTCAATTATTTGTCTTGTTCGGACGAGAATATGAATAAATTCAAGGATAATTTGGTTGACATCCCCAAAAAGGCGCGATATCATTTTAAATTCGGCGAAACAAAAGAACATTGCGAATCCATGTTTTACAAAGGCAAACATGAATGAGTAATAATCTCGCGGCAAATATTGGATGACTAAAGACATCCAATCCTTAGTGAAGTCGGCAAAGACGCATAGTCTTATTCAAATATGAAGGATATAGCTTTGAAGGACGACATTTCAACTTTGCAGACATCTCTCTAATTTTTACAAGCGACACACAAATACATCAGAAATTTGTATTGGAACTATTGTTAAATCCCCCTCTTCCGAAACAAAAATAAACAAGTCAACAGGTTTAACGACTCATTACTTAGATTGGATATCCATCGACGTAAACATTAATAAGTCAGGGTTGTGAGTGGAATATGACTTCACCTAATTATTGCAATTCCTTCCCTAAGCATTTAAAATTATTCACCCCTCGAGCTCGCCCCTAAATTAATAATCCGGGCAATTACAAGAAAGCAGCATTAAAAAAATATCCGCCTCTTCAAAAACCACTTACAGATTGTAAAGTGGCACTCGCGTCAAAAAAGTCCGCAAGATTAATGACCACCGCAGATAACAAACACATTACTTACCGACGCAACAATGGAAAATCTGTTATACACTTACCTTTTTTCTTTTTTCTTTTCTTCTTGCCCTTTTTCTGCACGACAACTGAGCCATTCGAGGAGCAAAAACCCTCCAGTAGTTTGATAAAAACATGTTGTGTTTCCATCAGATCTTTCAAATACGCATTAGACATTTTCAATTCATCGTACGTAGTTAATAAAGTAATTATGAGCTCGCGATATTCTAATATGTAAAATATGTTGCTCTTAATCACTTTAGATGAGTCTCGCACGGTTCCATCTGGTGATTTATCCATGACGCAAATTGTTAGCAGAAGCTCCTTGTACGCTAGTAAAGCAAGGTGGAGGCGCCGGGACCACAAAATAATGTTCTTTTTGTCGGTCTGAATCATGTCGAAGAATTTTTCCATCAGCTGTTGCACGTAGCGGAATGTTTGCACAGACATAGTTTCGCTAAAGTGAAATTAATTAAACGCTTATAAGTAAAAGTAAATTTAAAGAGGAAAGGGGGTTATTTGTACTTTGGGTTCGATACTTTCTGCAAAATGGGGTAATTCTTTGAATTTAGGAATTTAGCATTTTTAACCTGTGATTTCCAGTGTGTAGTTGAAATGCGTAAAATATTTTAAAATGGGTTGACAATTAAAAACAAATTTTTATTCCATTTTTTTTTTAAGGTTATGAAGTAAACCAGAATTTTGAATGCAGTGATAAAGATTTCCTGTGCTCGTAAATTCGGTTCACAAACTGCTTTGTTATTTCATTATGTGTTAATGGGAAAGCAATTACACGAATTCATATCGACTATATCTGATGATGATCAATCAAGTTAAATGTTGGATTATTTCAGAATACCGTGTTTGAAAAAAACGGATTTCGTATGTAAGTACCAGATCGAAAAAAATTGTAATCACTCAAACATTACTTAGGCACATCCTATTAACGTAAGTGCTTACACAAATCTTGGTTAGCGTTTTATCATGTACGCGATATACTTAATATACACACAAAATTTGACAACAATCGGTCTGGTAGTTTTGATGATTGTCTGTTCGACACAAATCACGCACAAAGGGCAGACAGACAGGCAGACGGAAACGGGAGATCTATTGTTTCATACTCCACGGTTCATGAAACTGGCAGAAAATATAAAAATGGGTATTCACCAGATGGACTGTTACAATACTTCCTTAGCTTACGCTCGGGAAGTAAAAATACATAAATCCCACAGAAATGTGTTATTATGTTTAGGAAAGAAACCACGAAATGTTAATAAAAGTTGTAATTCAACTTTGAAAACTTTAATTTTTTCTTTCTTCTATTATTTTAGTGTTAGCGTTACTAATCTCAATTTTTGAAACACAAATTACTGAAAAGACCTCATTACGACCGTGGAATCCCTGGTGATAAAGTAAAATCACGAAGTTTCAGAATGTTCTATTGTTGAAAACGGCACTACAAACCAAGAGAGAAACTAAACACAATATGAAAGACTTGAAACTGAATTCATTCATATGAATTCACTAGAGACAGACAACTCGCCGGTTAAAGTGTAAATGCTGTGCAAATATACAAACTGGACCGCAAATTATAAAGTAAATGTAAATATAAAAGTTACGCTTGCGAGAATTGCAAAAGAGTTAGTCAAAAGTTTCGTTCAATAGAATACCACGAAATAGTCTCGAGGGCAGCCTAAAAAATGTTAAATTAAATAATGTAAATAATTAACAAAACATTATTTTCTAGGTAAACACAAACATCCAACGGAAATTACATTTTAACAGAATTAACATCGAAAGGTTGTAAGGGTTAACAGATGTTCTTGACCACATAGTAGTGATTGGAACCTACAGAAAAAACCGCCGAGAAATGCTCAGAATGAGGCAGGACATAAAATGAATCCGAACAGCCGCAATTTTGTTTTGAAACATGATACTTTTTTCAGTTCACACAGTCACAAACGCCTACGAAAGCTCCACAGAAGTTCATACGTATCTGAAGGGTACAAAAGTAAAACAATGAATGTCACCCAAAACTGAAAAATTATGTATGGCAACACCTACCTTTCCTTGTATATTTTTATTTACGTTAAAGAAATAGTGTAAAAGTTCTCCAAAAATATTGACATCCACCACACGCAGTACAGGTAAAGAATGACTACAACTGAATGTTTATCCAAAACTATATGACAACATAAAGATTTACGGTAATTGTAAATCGTGGCTATTTTCATAAAATTAGGACAGTTTTTGTATTATCAACTTTGTCACCAATTTGAAACCGTGGCTGACAACACACCATTAATTATATTACCTAATAAACAGCCATATCAAGTTTTTTTTAACCAGTCGAATGTGTTGTTACCATGGCAACTTTTAAATGACAGAATCATGGACAACAGCAGTAATTTGAAAAAATTCCAACTGATATTAATAGCAAAAGAAAAAGACAGAAAGACACCTAATTTATCTCAATTAACCCGATTTGTATTAAACGGTTAAAATCCAACTGGTCCACTTACAAAGCACTACTTCGTTACTGAGTATGTTTTGATGATTAAAAATAATAATAAGTGAAAAAAGCCAACCTTCAGGAAAAAATAAACGAAATAAAAATTATTACAAAAACAATATCCAACAAGCTACATTGAGTAAATACATATATACATATATTACAGAGAAGTCCCGTGTCAAACTGCTCTTAGTAGGAACAATTTAATACGGTACATATTTCCAAACGTTGGTTGAATTTCCGGCCAAGGCAATAACCAGAAGAATCACAGGTATGTAATAATTTTTCTCCCATTGAAGCTATAATGGCAAAAAATGGACATCGAAAAGAACAGTTTTCTAGCAATTCTGGCACGTTACGATCCGAAGATACCAAGAAATGCATCAAATTTTTGTTAAAAATCATATTTTTGTCAAAATTCATGAGTTCTGAGCTATAGTACATATTTGCCAAATTTAAAAAACCACCAACCCTGCATTCTATCTTGAAAATACAACTGATAACAAAGGGGACAAAGATAGTTGTAACTTTGTAACTAATTTATGCTCCATTGCAGATTGTGGAAGGGTTTTGACGTTTCGAAACGTTTTAAAGAGAGATAGTAAACCTAAATTCTAAGATAATTGACTTAATTTGTTTAAGCTTGCGTGTTCGTGACGTTCGTTGAAATTTCAACGATATAATGTAAAAGTCACTAATAGATTTTTTTTGTTAACAACGGAAATCAACAAGTGGTGCTCTTTTAATTTTGGCAAAAACTATATATTTCGACTTATCTTGACGCTTCTGAACGTCATGGCGTACTTGAGATATGCATAATCGACTTGTTTTGTTTTATTTCCGACCTTCTGGCTTTGGAGTCGACCTTGTTTTTAAACATTTACCCAACGAATTTCACTTGTTTCAAGAGTGAAATTATTATTAACAATTGTAAACATGGAACATCCAGATTTTTTTAACATTTTATGATTCAGAATAAAAAACTAATTTCAGAAATTATAAACATGTTTATTTCTACCGACTGAAAAAATAGAAAAAAATCACAAAAAAACACCTAATATCGTAAAATCACGTGATCTTTGAAAATACTAATATATAATAAACTATAAGAAGACTACATGTATGATTTTACAATATTAGGTGTTTTTTTGTGATTGTTTTTATATTTTTGTATCAGTAGAAATAGATAATATGTTGAAAATTTCTCACAGTACTTTTTTTTACTCTGTTTCAAAAAATGTCAACAAAAACTGGGTGTTCCAAAAAAAAAGTAGGCGGCTCTGTCTGTCAAACCGAGAGCGATAAAAAAAGGAAAACTGTTGTAATCAAGTCGCCATGTTTAACTACATATCGAAAGCAGATTTCAGAAAAATAAAATCAAATAACTAAGTTATTCGATCGTTCCGGAACTGTATACTAACCCTGTATAAAAATAATAATCAAGCACTTTTGTTTTTATTTGAAATTAGGAACTATCCGGAAAAAAAATACCGCAAAAATATTTCAGGTATAGTTGGATTACAATAACGCCTCAGTCTACTGGATCTAGTATTTAGGAGAACAGAGAACGCGACGAAAACATGCAATTTGTAATTTGATCGAAGAAAAACGGTATTTTTTCGTTATTATAGTGATGAAGTTTAATGTCCGTATGTTAATTATTACACAAAACTTAATCGGTGCAGAGCGAAGCGATGCCTCGACTTATCACTATCAATTAATTATTATCAATGACAGTGTAACGTCTCCTCCATCTAGTTGAAATCTACAGATTCACTCACCCCCAATTTAAGATTCTCGTGCAAGTCTTGCGGGAATTATGGTCCGCAAATATCTATAAACAAGAAGATAAAGGCATCTGATTAACCTACTGCCCACTACATTTTTATCACCAGAGCATCATCGTCAAGAATTTTTAGTGCTGGATCTCCAAAAATTATGATGTTTTAAAATTGCCTAGAATTGGCCTAGCTGTACAGTTTAGAATATAATACCCAGCCGCAGTCATAACAAGAGTACATTTAATTACCATGTTTCCTTCAGAAATACACTCCATCTCTCAACCTAATCAGTGAATGTATGCTTTGTTATCATAGCTTTAATCAACCTGCCGTGCCCAGATATGCACCATGGAAATCACCCAGAGATTTTAGTGGTTCATATCTTTATGGACAAGTTCACCCTGTTTCTCCACCTTGTTTTATATTCACCTAGATTCAACACTAATGTCCTACTTGACTACGGCCTTGCCGCTTGTCCGTCACCCCTGTCGGTGATTTTACCACTTCCTGCTTATAAGACATCTTCTAAAAATCAAGCTTTCATATTTTTTATTTTGGGCGATTTTTTATTTTGAGTAAATGTGATTTTTAATATTTTTACGCATTTAAATTACACCCTGGGTACACACGTTAAACAAAGGGTCGCTCTAAGCATGTCAACATTATGAGGTCTCCGATGTATTCTACCTTAAAGTTTTAACTGTGGTAAAATGTTTAATGAATGAGTCCCCGATTACAAATGCAGTAGTGAGGAATAAAGCAAGTTAATCGATGTCTTAAATCAACAAAACCAGAAAATGATTTCATTTTTCATTCAAACATTCAAAGTGCCCCCAGCTTTTGCAGATTTGTGTTGTGGAAATTTCCATGCAAAGCAGCCGTCGTCTTAATTGAAAAACTGGCTCACTTAGCCATAAAGTGAGTAAAACGGCCCGTTTTCGTGTGAAGGCCTCGAAACGGAAACAAAACTGATTTGTGTAAATTAAACAAATTGAGTAATTTAGCGGCTGCAAAAAGTGGAGCGAGCATTTAACTCTCGACAGGACGGGCAAAGTGGATTAAAACATGCAAAAGGACTTACCTAACTAATTTAACTTCAAACTTATAACATCTATTAAATTCCATGAAAAACCTAAGAGCCCATAAATAATAGGATTCATCGTGGGCCTGGGCCCTGGCCCGCACTAAATTATCCTTAACGTGATACATAAGCGTGTTGTAAGCTCCATTTAAAAATTCAACACAAAACTCTTTCAGAAATAATCTAATGCTGAAAGCTGAACGTCGCTCGAACGTGCTACTTTGCACAGGCATCCGATTTTTAGGTGTTTTCGGTTTCTTTTTGTCGGCGTCGAAGTTTAAAGCTTCCAGTTTATTTAAAGGTTTATGATAAATAAGTTCGTTCTCACTAATTGATTTCATTGATTTTAGGACGTATGTGCCTCCGAATCTCGAATGCCTGCAAACCGATCACAATAAATAAATAAACAACACCATTCTGTTAGGTGTAATCGCGCGCCAGTAGATGTGCATTTGCGAAAATCAATATTTACGTAAACAACTGGAAAATTAAGTATATTTATCAAAAATGTTTAACTGGTTCGCTGCTTTGATTCAATGAGTGATACATTATTGCCAATTAGTTCAAAATTAATAGAATAAACGCATATGGCTCTATTTTATCGCTGCAAAGCATAGCATAAATTTTAGCGATTAATATGTAATATGTGTCACGATCTAAAAAAGCAAAAAATAATACATATTTATAGCCTTGATTTAAACTAGCAGTTGAACGTTAAAATAACATAACAACCAAATATTTCATTATATTTCCTCCCATTTTTTATTTACTTGCTAAAAGGTAGAATAAAAATAATACAGAAAATTCGGGGATCAATGGAGTTAAACGAGGAAAAATTATATATATATAAATCACAACTAAGAAAGATTTGTTTGGTAAGTCAGCACTTACAATTACTTATTAACTGTAAATGAAACTGCCTGTGGCACGTGAATCGTACCTCACATTTGAAATGCTTCTGAAACATCGGGTTCACAAAGTTCAGAAAAGATGCACATTAAATCAAAACTAGACTCGAATAGCCAATAAGAACTCAACCTCAAAAAAGAAAAATATAAAAGTTTAAATACTGTGACGCATAGTGACTGGTGTTTTATGATTAACGGCTTCACTACATTACATCAAAGTAATACACTAAATTGCCAAATTTTTCAACACCGTTATTCTGAACTCTGCCGTCGAAAACGCACAAAATTCGTTTTATTCTTCTTTCCACCAAAAAGTGCAGAGACAGCAAATATCTAGGCGAAAACACCGGTCGAAGGCATCCGCATGCAACCAACAAGGAACACTATGTATACAATCGAAAAACGGTATTCGGCTTCGTCATTGAACCAGGAAAAAACTCAAAATCGTAGTCCAATTACGTCACTGCCAGAAATGGAAGTACTCGAAATGAGGATGCATAACTCCAAACACTGCGATGCCTTAAATTCGTCAATACGAACTTGCCCATGTGAATTCACATCGAAAACAGCCTTACCGTAATCCAGTAGTCCAAAAGTATTCCAGCACTACCAAGGAGCTCCCGAAAAACGGCGCCACGAAGGTTTTGCCTCTTTTTCTTAAGTCCTTATAATCCCCAAAAGAAGATATTTGTGAATTTAAAGAAATGAGTCTAAATTCGTAGGCCTCTCACCAAAAGGTCATTTTTCGGTTCTTTAACATTTTGTTTTGACAAAAGTTTTTTTTTGTTGTTTAACAACAGTGAAACGTTGAAAATGGGTCGTTATACAAAGGCTGAAATGGCTGATATGCATTTAATGTTTATTAAACTGATTTGACATACATCTAGCAAAATTTTTGACTTTTAAACGGTTTAAGCCAAACCAGCCCTACAAGTCAAAGTGGCTATTGCAAATTTTATGAACCCGAACCGCAAGGATTATACTATATATATACTATACATTGGTGTCATAATGGAGTTGTAAAATTTTACTAGGCATATGTCAACTGAGTTAAGTTTATGGTAAAGCATTTGGAAACACTTATGAGGCGCAGCGTCTTCTCGGTGAGGCATCCCTCAACGAAGATTACCTGATCATCGTACATTAAGTGGACGGATCGTATTCTGAAAAACAGCACGTTTAGTCCAAAAACTGCAGATTGGGGTCTTGAATGAACAGACCATGTTCTAGATGCGAAGACAGAAATTTTGGAGATCGTTGAAGAAGGCCTCAGCGTAAGAAGATTATCTTATCATGTTGGAATTTCGTCGTTTGTTGTATGGCGAACATTACATGAACAAGGACTTTATCCTTACTAGGCCCAACGAGTTCAAACTTTGAAACCAGAAGATCTACCGCGCCGAATGAGATTTTTGTGAAGGGTTGCTTGACAGGAATAGAGCAGACCAGGTTTTGGAGCAACCATTTTTTCCTCAGACGAAGCGACATTTGCAAGGGACGGTAAATTAACGCGCGAAACACGCAGACTTGATTAGATGAAAATCCTCACGCTATCCAAGCTCAAGACCTCTCAGGAGCGGTGTAGTGTCAAAAATAGTTGGCAATTGCATTTATCTCTTCGTTTAACCGGATTAGCTTATTGCAATTTCTCACTGGACATTTACCAAATCGATTAGATGAAATCTCTGAAATATGTGGTATCTCCAAGATGGGGCATCTGTTCACAATGCTCGAAAAATGTGGCGATGGTTCGAACAACATTTTCTAAGACAATGGATGGGAAGGAAGGACCAGTATTCAGCCACCTCACTCTTCAGACCTTAACCCATGCGATTTTTTCTTGTGGGGGCATTTGAAACAATTGGTTTATGAAACTCTCTTAAATACAGTTCAAGAACTAATCAATCGGATTGAGAATGATGCAGCGGAGATTAAGGGAAAACCCGACATGATAGACCGCTTAGAGCCGTCATTAATTCGGCGTGCTGAGGCATGTCTCGTCAATGGAGGCAGTCAGTTTGAACAATTGATTTAATTCATTAATTTTATTTTTTTGCTGTTTCCCTGTTATATTGTACGTATTTTTCAATTGGTCTTTACTAGTTTCCATAATTTTCGACTTCTTATTTATTCCGTATTGTTCTTAAACTTGTTTATTTCTGCCAAAATAAGTTCATTCATTAGTCAAAGCAAAAGGGTATCTTATTTTTTATTATCGCTACAGCTGAATTAACAAAAAAGACAGTTCTTCAATACTTCACTATGTAATATAGCCAATTCAAGAGGGACACTAAGTTTTAAGTAAACACGTAGAATCTGAGCTGATGCAGAATTTTCTGTCGATTTCTGTCGCCTGCGTTTCCCAAAATGATCCCATTTTCATCTTCCAAATATTGACAAGATTAAAAGCCTAAACTTTCAATCACTTAACGGGTTGTTAGTTCTATGCTAAATCGTGTTCTAATTTTCATGACTTGCGGTGTATCTAAACCAGCGAATAAGTACAAAACTCCAAAAATTTCGAAACTCACCAATTCTCATTATCCTGAGAATCGGTAGTATTAGCATTCCACTAATTTGCCCCATTCTTCTACGCAGATTTTTTTTTAGTAATTTGACATGAGTAACAGGCAAAAGTAATTTGATCTTTAAATTATTAATTTTGTTCTCTAGCACCGTGATTTTTGTGATTACTGTTTAAGGTTTGTTTTAGGATTTACTAAAAAAAAGTTGGATAATCACGAGGAACTGTCAATTTTTTTGTACGTAACACCTGTATGTTAAAAAAAAACCTAATTTAATTGAACAGTTTTATTGGTCACAGAATCAACCAAGAAACATATGACAAACTTTCTACTTTATGTAGTGTTAACTACAAATTCGTTTTTTTTTTTTTTTTTAATACATGTACGATTCTGAGGTGAAATTGTCAAAACTTAGACGCAGACTAAGAAATGAAAACGAAAAATTACTATAAAAAATGCTTCGTTTCGGTTTTGACAGACACCGAGGAAACTGAGAAGCTAGTTTCAGTCGAACACTATATCTAGAAGAACAAAGGATTCTAAATGTAAATTTAGATAATTCTGTCAAGATGCAAAAACGAGAAAATCGATGAAGAATGACCAAAGCGCTGCGTCTCCAGAATTTGCCAGCCATGCATGCATAGCGCCACCTCATTGACCGCGATCGCGAAAAAACGGAGGCATTCACCCGACGTTAATCTTATCATCTCGCCACGAACAAAAGAAACAGAAAGCAAAGGCTAAAAGTTTCGAAAATCAGGAATCAAAAAATTAACTTGAGAAATCCAATATAATCAAGAACCTTAAAGTCGAGAAAATCACAAACATGTATGGCATAAAGAATGATGACTGGATGACTCATTAATTGGCCATATTAAGATCCCAACATTCAAAAGAAGTTCAAGGCGTAATTTTTATCCAAAAATTAAGGTTAAATTTAAAAATTTTCATTCTTTCTTCCTTGCTCTTCACTATCTCCATATGTGACACTTCAAGAGCCGCAAATGACTTAAATCTCTGCCGAATATACGACGATCGTTTGCGGCAGTGTCAATCTTAAGACTTCAAAAAGCCACAGACGCATTCAAAGAATAGAATGTAAAAACTGATCATGCCATCAACTCTATTTGGTGTCAATGTGACCGATGTGGTCCAAAACATACATACAATCATACACTTCGGCTAATCCAACAAAAATTCTAACAAATACATATTTGTGACGATCAGGGCCAAACCTACTATAGGTACACAACACAAGACTTTTTGAAAAAATCTGCATTATAATTTTTGTAAGTTTCTCAGTACCTTGAAAACGCTATAAAAACATCTACAAGGACCATCAAAAGGTGCAAACTACAAAATGGACTTTTTTTCTTAATTAGTAATATAGCGTTGCTTTTTTTCACTGTCCTATTTACTGCTCTTTTTTTATCTGATTACGGCAAATTGCCACTGACACAAGCGCTCGAAAAAGGAGTGTGTCAAGAATTAGGTGTAGTTAAATATATATTTATTATATGTATTTAATTCTGCTAGTTAAATCAGGCAAATTTTCAACTTCACGTATTTGTTGCAAGTACTCGCTAGAGCGATAAAGACCCCATCTACAAACCCAATTAATTAATATAAAGATGATAACGATACAGAAGTGAGAAAAAAGTTAAAAAATGAGGATGAAAAGAGAACAAAATCTAGCACAAATAAACATACTATACGGACTCTATTTGGAAGAGAAAAAAAATGACAGGACATCTGAGTCAGTCCATTAAGAGAAATAACGTAAAAATATATCAGGAAACCCGATGAGGGTGTACAAAGGAAACAAGAATAAAAAGTTTAATTGAAAGGGATAGAAATGAACAGAAGAAACGGCAGTCTATTTATTTTGAACCTGGAATGTTTAATTCCATTATTTATATTTCGTATTATGACAATGGTATCCAAGAATCAACACATAAACTTCATAAACTTTCATGTTTTTTTTCTCAATGTAATGTAATTACCAGTTACTTACAAACCAATTAGTCATTTTTTATTAACGAAAAATCATCAAATTGCATTAAAACTTAACAGCAGCCACAAATTTTAGTAAATGTTGCAAGCGAATAATATATTCATATTTACTACAGTTTACTGACCTCATCTCCACACCGTATCGAGTGAATCCATGAAACTGTGTTAATTTTACGTAAATGCACATATACTTCATTCAATAGATAACAAAGCTGCCTTCACCCAAAAAAAAACCTCACACATTACCTCGCTCCGTTATACATTTTTACTTTTTGTTGCCTTTGGTTAGTTTCGCGGTGTCTTATCGCTAGTAGTTCTGCTTCATCTCTCATTTTTTCGGTCTCGCTCCTTTGCAGAGCGGCCCGGGCAAGTTCGGAAGCTCTTTGTTCTCTCAACATAAATGACAATATCTCTAAAGTGTGCATGTAATAAGCTTTTTCGTTCGTGGAGCTTGTTATATACAAAATTATATCCAACATCCCAGATTGATGTAGCGCCCACAGCACCTACGTAATATTTCCGGAGCGTTATTTTAAACGAAAATCAAAGTTAGAGCAAAAAATACCTGGTCGTGGATACTGGCGTCATTGTCGGGTCGTTTTTCCGTGTTAGGATCGGGCGGGACGTACAATATATTTCGAATTAGAATGAGAATTCTCTCTATTATCAGGCTATTCTCGTCCCCACGCTCGGCGTAATTCTGAAAAAAAAAAAAAATATGCATTCAAAACGATCATTACGAGGCTTGATTGAAATTAATGACGAATTGCGAAGCGAATGGACGGATAATTACTCACAGGACTGTCGAATGAGTCGATGCTGAAAAATCACAGGGATCGTTCTTTATCAAATTTTGTGGGACTTAAAAACGGTTGCATTAACAGAGAGGCCATATTTACTTATAATGAATTCTGTTGTAGACTAAAGTAAGTATTGTACTCACAATTAATCCTAATAACTTCTATCTCTGCCGTGGCGAATGCAGGTTTTAACTTTAAATAAAGTTTTCGCTAAAAGTTCCATTAACTTCATGTTTCAAACATGACTCTAAATGCACTGTGGAAACTATTTATTGCACGTAACCGAAATAACATTTAAGCTATGACACCATGGGAACGTTGATTTAATAATTAAGAAATCTTCAAATTTAATGAGTTTCATTAGCATTGGAAATGCCCAAAACTTCAGATGCTTCTAATTAAAACCTATTAGCGATTGATCAATACTCCAAAAATTTAATAGTCTACTTTAGTTACATCCAAATACAGTAAATTAATGACATCTCATTTAAAATCGTAGTAAATATTAACTTTAGGAACGTGAAGAGTGCAACGGTAATTAATTTTCTTCTTGCTATTTTTGTGGCCTAAAAAGTTATTTCACTGAACTTTATCAAAGTATATGTGTATAAAAATTTGGAATATGAAGGTGTTCGTAAATACGATTTAAACGTATAAAATAAATACACATATAAAATTATATTTTAAAGAATGTCATATGTCATAACTTAATAGTTTATATGTAGCATCTCATCAAAATAAACTAAAAAAGAAGTTTAAATGACAACTTCAAAAATTATTGAAAGAATTCTAAAGTCTGAAGATTATAGTCTCGGAACGCGGTTTTCACCACTGTTTCTGGCTTATAAAACTCTGTAAGCTATCCGGAAAATATTATCAACTTTTTTTTGTCAGAAATGAGATTCAACAAAAGGAAGCTTGTGCCAAAGAGACAACGTTTTCAGGGTAACTCATGGAGTTTTGCATACTGAAAACAGTGGTGAAATCCGCGTTCCGAAATTTCGCAAAATAGGTAATTGAGATATTACAATAACCTAATTAAAAAAAACTACTCTTGAATGACATAGCGAAAGTCGTAGACAGGTTATAATTAAAACCAGATATTACATTTTGAAAATGTATTGAAAATCCTATGTGCCAAACGTAGAGATGTGCCTTAACACTTCATTACTGAGAAATACGAGTCTAGTTATTTTTTATCTGGGGACTAGGTCTCGCTATGATCGATTCATTCCGGAGCTATATGAATAGCTCTACTGCATTAAGATGCACAAATAAATACACATTCATATTAAGTCATTACTTAAAGGTTAACGTATAAGTGTGTAGTATTTACACTTTACTATAGAAATTTAATTACCTGTGTGTGTATAAGAAACTACGAGTACCTTTCCAATTTAAGAAATCGAACTTGATGGTAGAAGTGCATGTTCAGTAAAAATCTATAGGTATATGTGTTAAAAATTTGTATTTGACACCAATTAGATGATTTTAACGCATGAAACAACACTAAAAAAATTATAGCAACAACTAAGACACAAGTTTTAAGCGGTTTCAAGGCAGTTGCATTAAGCAGCACTAATAAGCCTGTTGCAAACAATGACGTCATAGTCTTCAGTGAATGTTAAAACATACGCAACCATTTCAAAGAGCTTCAAGAGCATTTAAATAACGGGTCGATTAATAGTCAGTTTTAAAGTTGTTAAACCACTGAAATAATTTTGTAATAAACACAACACTATGTTTCGTGCTTCCACATAACCGCTTTTACTGAACAGCTTTAAATTGAGTACCTGTCAATACATAACTTCACTCACAACTTTCCTATCACAAAAGATAAAAAGTTACGTGAGAAAAAAATTATTTGAAACATTGTTACTTGGGTGAATTCCTAACGTTTGAATAGGGTACTGAGAATTAACATATTCCCTACACTACAAATGTAACTGGTTTGACTTAATTTAATGCAGCAACTGAAGTTATTTCCTGTACGTCGAAATCGACTACGAAGTTCTCGAAGCGACGCGACAGCAAACTTCATCTTCCCACATACACTATATAAAAAACATTGATGAAAACGTTCCGATAATTGATAAAGTTTGCTCTTTGAAATATGCAGCAACTTTTCGCAAAACCACTTCTTTCAAAGTGAATTAATTAAAATTTCAGTAGGGAATAACATGATTAAAATCCTAATTAAAAGCCTTACAGAACAACAAGTTGCTCAACAATTTCGATGTCTGAAAAAAATTTAAACTGATTTTCCTCGCTAATAAAGTTGGAAATAAACGACGTGAAATCAATTATTCCAAACAAATGAAGTGGCTTCCAAATAACCTGATTTTTAGCAATACCCGTGCTTTTTGTTCAACCCGTGTTCCGGGCATATTTCACATGAAAAGGTAAAGTTAAAAATAAAAAAGCTCGGGCATTAAAAATCGTTTTACCTTCTGACGAAACTGGCGCAAAACATTAAAGTCAACACAACAAACAAACTTTACGTGGAAATGGCATAAAACAGAGACATTAGCAATAACGGCGTCTGTTTCAAACATGCAAACGCCCCAAAAAGCTTCCAGAACATTTCAGTAAATTACACTTAAGCTTGCTTTCAATGTACCACCGCAATTGTAACAAAAAAGACGTATTTCAAAATTTTCCGAGTTTGTAATTTAAATTTTAGGGTCATAACTTGCATAAACGATGCAAAATGCGAGGGAATGATGAAAACTGGTCAAATCATACATAGAATTAGTGTATTCAGGGGCAGCACATTATTACAATAGTTGTATGAAAAACAAGAATGACGGGTTTGTATGTTGAATCACAGTTAAAACATTAGTTTGGGGTAAAATTATTCGGAAGTCTGCATTGTAAAGCCAACTGTGGCTCTCGCTAAGACAGAACAATCTTGTGTAAACTGCCAATATTACTCCACTAACTAATTGGAAGCCCCCTGGAAAAGTTCTCGCGTATTTCAGAACAGTTTCTCCAAGTTTAAATTAAGAGTTATTCTTAGGTAAAATCATTAAATATTTAAATGACTGATTTACAGACGATAAAATAGCAGCTTTATTTTACAACAGCTAAAGTTTGTGCTTAACGTCTGTTTGGTAGCTTAACAGTTTTAATTAAAAGCTATACGCCGCCCATTGCTTATAATTATTACATTAAAATCTCTAAAGTGTACGTAAAGAGTTGAGAACCAAAGATTTTCCTTAGTTTCATAATAAAACCGATAAAATGAACATTCTTTTAATTCCACTAATGAGACCGTTCGCCGTTCTCGGGTTTTTTTTTACAAAAACCAATTTTAATTAAACTTTGAAAAGTCGGCCGTCTCCCAACTGCAATTACCATTGTTAAATACTCACAGTTTCTAAAATCTTGCTCAGCCTGGTGCTAAGTACCGCCCAAAAGGTTTCGTCGGCAAACGTCTCTTTGTAGCTTTTTAGATGATCTTCAACTTGTAAGTACTGGTTTCTGGTGACTTTATTTGCTGGAACTTCTTCATTCCACAACATTAGTGCCGGCGTAGTTAAATTTACTAATAATCTGTAAATGCATATTAATTTGAACAATTTCTACATCTATATAAATTGTATCACAATATCTCCACAAAGTTTATAATTAGCAAAATTATTAATAATACACAAAAATGAAACTATGGTTTTCAAATACGCTTATTTTTTTGACTGTTATAATTAATTTAGCATCTACATATGTACATACATATATTTCTATAACTAGGTCGGTTAAAAACTGACTAAAATATTTTATTTTCAATATGAGTTCAATTTTATTAAAATATGATGTATGTAATTAAATATGTTGAAAATAATATTAATATTTATCAAACATAAATCGTGACAAACATATAAATAAATAAACAATTCAAGCTATCAGTGGCGGCTCGTCATATGAGGCAAGTGAGGCGGCGCCTCACAGCATATTTATTAAGAACAGATTGACTTAATTTATAATTAAAGAAGAGCTTTCAATGCATTTTTAGTTACAAAAATATGTTGAAATGGGAAATCTGTAGATGATTTTTTATTTTTTAAGCTTTCTGCAAACATTTTCCATTGAATACTGTACGATTTATGCCCCGAGTTCTGTAACTGAAGCGGCCAGAGCGTCGGTTCACTTGAACCAACGAAGCCCAATCACAGACACGGATTTCCATGACTCAGCTGCTATACTCCTATACATAAATTCGCTCGGAACTGAGGCGATATCTTCGATGCTTCTCGGCCAATTTCGGCTTACTAATTAAACCATTTTCCGATTTATTTTACAGAATGGGGTGCAGGGTGCGTGGGTAATTAACAGAAACGTGAATAAACACCCACGTGTTGGTATTTCGTGTTTTTGTCTATTTCATAGGTACAGGGTACAGGTGAGTGAAAAATGAATCCCGAGTACAATATTGTCATGTTGCTTCTTGAAACGCCGTTTTCACGGCGAACCGAGTTAGAACGTCGGTAAATTTTGCTAAATATCGAGCAGTCAAAACCGTTAATTCATTTAACTTCCATTAATAAGCGACAAAATCGTCAGTACTCTAGGTTTTTTAAATCAGCCTGGTACGAAACATATAAACGGCTCTGCCGTAGCCGTAAATTTATGCTGAAAGTCTATATTGTTGGCCATGTCTACTCTTAGGCAATGTAAAAAACACATGGACGACGTCTCCGGTATATAACGATTTAAAGAATTTCATCCAAAGTGCAAAGTCACATGAAAGTTCCGAAGTACACATTAAAAATTTCATGGGCTTAAAACGTTTAGAAATTTTGACTTGTAAAAACATTGTTGATTAAATGTGTTATGGGTGTTATTATTATTATTATCATTATTAGGACCCACTACTGACTCGGAAATGACCGGTATTCAGGCAAGACTTTTATCATTACTAACTATTAATACCAAGTAATATACATTAATCACATGAATTTAATTAATTTTATTATTTATACTATTATTGTCAAACTTCTATCATCGCCTCACCGCATCAGACAGTCACGAGCCGCCACTGCAAGCTATACATACGTCATGTTGCTTGTCTACAATGAAAATGAATGAAAACAGTGTAAGCTTTTAGATTTTTTTCTTCAAACGTATGAGCAAAATATATTTTCAAAATATTTTCTTAAACAAGCTCTTTCAGGAATTATTTGGTTCACTATTTAAAAATTAAAGTAATTTTTATACTGTTAAGTCAAACAATTAACTGTGAAAATTATGCATAAAACAGTCAATCTTCTAAAATACCTTCCACAGAGCCTCACAACACTACTAAAAATAATTATGGACGATTTGTCAAGGGACGGAAAGTACAAAATCTGATCAACATTATTTTACTTAATTATTTATTGATGAAAGTACGAAATCCATTTTTTAATTAGTAATTAGACTATGATTATACCAACGAAATCTTTTTAAATTGCTGACATTTTTGGCATACCAAGAGCACTACAACTCAACAAAGTTTGAAAAATTCTTCAGCTTGGAGGTATTAGCAATTTAGGGGAGCAACCAGCAATTATTCAAAAATGTAAGAAAATACGTCGCTTTTATTGCCTTGAATTTTGATAAATCAATATTTTTTACTAAGTATAAAAATGAAAAACATCACATACAAGTTCCTAGCATCCATAAATTATAATATAAGTACTGTCCAAGAAGTAGATGCTTATTTAAATTTTCCAAATCTAAAAGATTACACCCGCCATTGTTTAAGGCGAGCATAAGCTTGGTTATTAAAGGTGCCGACTCACCAGTCTTATTGAACAAATATATCGGTGGGAGGTGGTAATCGTCAAATGTGGTTGAAAGATGTCCCGCATTGAAGTTAGGCTCAAAATTGTATTTGGATTCCCTTTTTCGATATTTACGACCTTGACAGATTTTTTTTCAGTAAGATACATAGGTATAGGTATTTCATTACTACATAAGTACTTGGTCAAACGTAAACTGACCTTAATCGAATCCAAATCTAAATTTAAAACTTCAACAACATGAAAATTTTAGATATTCATCCCTCAAAAAACAACCAAGGCTCCATTCCTTTCACTCAGTTCGACAATTGCACAGATTGTAAAGCAGCTATTGCTGTTAGTCATTATAAAAAATGTGTCCCAAATTGTTTTCTCTATGACATATTTTATAATCAGTTTTGTTTTATTCTGAACAATCTAGAATCATGGAGTTTGGTAGTTGAAAGCGGCTAGAATAATCGAAGTATATTTTACTCGAACAAAACATGAGTTTTGAGGTCTCGTGAATTCGCTAGTCTCCGCTCGCCTCGTCCACAAATCCTTTGCCAAAAAAAAGCACTTTTTGTATTAATGAAATAAATACGTACTTCATTGATGCAAGATACACAGTGAAAACATCTTCCACTATTGTTCTTAGGACACAATGGACGATACGTTAATTCATTAAATATTCAATGCATAAAAGTACAAATGTTATTTTTGTCAATTTCCATTCATAGCTTGACGTTAAGAATACGCACGTGTATTGTTGGTTGCCTGTCCTTGTTTAAATGATTTCATTTTTTAATTAAAACTTTAATCTATGTCTCTTACCTTAACAAAACGTCGAAAAGATCCGTCTCTTCCCAATAGCTTTTTAATAACGGTATCAAATCGTTCGACAAGACCTTCATTTCCCCAAGCTGCCTTCGTATATCATGACTCTCATCATCTCTCCTTAAGTACCGAATTAAATCTTTCACTGTCTCAAGGGTATTAGAATCTGCATAGTACTTATTAGATTTCGCATCATAATATCCGAGAGCGCTACACGTTGCGGCCAATTCGGCCGACAATAAGGACGACATATTTCAATCAATCCTTTAATTACACTGTAATTTAAATTCAAACTGGATAAAATTTCACGTTTTCATTATTAGATCTCTAATGACGACACTTAAAACGAAGTAAAGTTTTAACAAGCTGGAAATTTATATTAATATGAGAAGTTACAAACAAAACTTTTGATTTATTAGGTTTAGAGTTGAACTAATTAAAACACCACCTTAGTGTCACCAGTAATTAGTATTTCACCGACACTGAAAACTGTCTTTACTTTAGATTTTGGTATAACTTTGTTGCAGTTGTAAACTTATTTTGGTGCAATTTTGTCGAAATAACCACACAACCACCAGCTGATAGGTTAGAACAACAAACTAAAAACGCGGGAAACATACATCAAGGTGACAGCTGTCAACTGACTCACGAATTAAGACGAACAGGCAACGGTCAACAACGAAGGTAATGGATGTAGAAATGTAGAGGAAAGTGCCCTAATAACTATGGCAAAATAGTATATTAAAGAACGAGTTTTATAAGGCAAATATTAAGGCACGAATCCAAGTTTATAGAACGAGCGGCGATGTAGAAAATATAGCCCTTCAAAATTTAACTTTTATTTTCAATATTTCACCATATTCTAATTTACCACTTAGTGTTCGATGCATGAAATCAATTACACTTCCATTATTCAAAATAATTTTAGAGGTATATTGCTTTCATCCACAGTTTTCTTCATTTTATAATATAACAAAAAACTTAAAAATTGTTTAGGATAAATTGGACAAGTGTGGCTAATGTTTAGAGTTTCTTGATTTATCGGTCTAAATCGATATTTTGTTCCTGTAAGTGAACGGCAAATTGACGTAAGGAATTTTTTAATAATTTTTCCGGAACTTAGACTTGGGAACTTAATAATGTATCGTTTAGTGGGTGCGCCATTTTTTCAGCATCCTGTATATCAAAATTTGGTTTAATTAATACCACAGTAAAACGGCGGAACAGTGTTATAAATGTTATAATATACTAGATGATATTAGAAACGGAACACCGAGAATTAGGTAACCATTTTTTTAAGCTGCTTTGTCATGTATTGTCATTTATTAGTTTAAGTTAATAAAGTTAAAATTTCACAAAAAAAACACCAAGCAAAGGAAAAAAAAATAATAGTGCGTTTGACAACCTTCGTTTTGAGTGCATTCGTTGACACGTCTGGGCATCGATTCCATTAAGTGACCGACTTCCTCCTAGGGTAGTTCGCCCCAAACAACTGGAATTTGCTTCTGTAGCTGAGCTAAAAGCTGTGGAGAATTTTGTAATATGGTTAGTCTGATGTCCTCATATTCCATATGTACTAGATTGGATTTAAATCCGGAGATAATAATAATAATAATAATAATAATAATAATAATAACCTTTATTGCCCAACAGATAACCCTATTACAGGACAATATAAATCAATAATAAATAAAAATAAAAAATTAAATAAAATAACTAACAATTTAAGGATCGTAAGGATCAAAACCAACACACTATGCCTACCATGCAATACGTGTATAATTAAATTAACATTAATAATAAAAACAACAATTTAACGCAGCTGATTCATTTTACAAAAAAATACATCATCATAAAACTTTTTCACATTCTGATACATATGTTCCAGTGGGGCTTTACGTAGTTGATTTGTTCTTGGTATTGAAGGCAGAAATGAAGATGCATGACGTGAGACGATACGTGGTACGTGAAAATTAACATTGGCCAATAAAATAGGACAGTCAATTTTTCCCTGAATTAAATTCCATAAAAAATTAGCACTGTACAATTGTCTTCTGCTACTCAAGCTATGAATTTGGTGTCGTGCTAATAACAAATTATATTCTATTCCCCTAATTGGATAGATTCCATCTATTCTAAACGATAAACATTTTAAAAAACGACGTTGAACTTTTTCTATGGCAAGTCTATGTGATTCATAATACGGATACCAGATAATAGACCCATACTCTAGTTTACTTCGAACAAATGAGAAGTATAACATTTTCATTAGTTGTGGGTCAGTGAAATCTTTTGTAAGTCGAAATGTAAAGCCAAGCATTTTCGAAGAAGATAGACATATATTATGCATATGTTGAGTAAACGATAAATGTGAGTCAAATGTGATACCTAGATCTTTTACTAACTGTATTTTTTTAATTGATTTATCGTTTATAAGATACGAAAAGCAAACTGGATTTAATTTTTTTGTATAGGTCATAATGAAACATTTATCAGTATTTAATAGTAATTTGAATTCTTTGCACCAGTCTACCATCCTTTCAAGATTATTTTGAAGCAAAATGCTATCATCTAAGCATCTTATTGAGGAGTATAGTTTTATATCATCAGCATATGCTAACACTTTACAACGTAATGAGTCCAAAAGATCGTTGACAAACACTACAAAAAGTAAAGGCCCTAAATTAGACCCTTGTGGCACTCCAGAGGTGGAATCAAAATTTTTAGATTGAAAACCATTGTAGAAAACATAATTTTGTCGGGAGTCAAGGTAAGACTCCATTAGCTTTAAGAAACTATATGCAAATCCAAACCAACTTAATTTACATAAAAGAACATGATGATCAATGGAATCAAACGCACAGGAAAAATCAGTATAGACGACATCGACTTGTCCATTCTTATCTATTTGTTGTGAAATGAATTGACTTATTATAGCTAAATTAGTGATTGTAGATCGTCCAGGTAAAAATCCATGTTGATGTATAGAGATGAGACTTTTAACATTGTGATAAATATTTCTATAAATGAGTATCTCAAAAATTTTAGCAAAATTCGAAAGTATAGAAATAGGTCTGTAGTTTTTTATCATAGAAGCATCACCTTTTTTGTATACGGGAGTAATTCTGGCTATCTTCCAAGTGTCAGGGAAGGTGGATGATTTTATAGCTAAGTTAAAAATTGTAGTAAGAGGTCTAGCCAATGCGAATCTTGTGTCACGTATAATAAAACTAGGTATTAGGTCATCACCAGCAGTTAATTTGTTAGGGAAAGATGACATAACAGACAAAACTTCTTCTTCAGAAACATTTTGCATTATAAAGGAGGAATTATTTGTGACAACATCAGTAAGTGAAACATCAAGTTTGGATTTGTACATGCTTGAAAAATTTTCTGCAAATATATCGGAGATCTGGAGGACTAGGGCAAACATTTAAAATTATTAGAGATAGAAGACAGAAATGTTTATCACAGTACCTATTCTGTAGGAACATCACACTAATACAACAAAAATTGTTAACATAAATCGTTATTTATCAGTGTTGCATTTTCAATTTTATTTAGTATATCTACTAGCTTCATCATAATTTTATTTGTTTAAAAGACTTGTACATTGTTTCGTAGAGCGTACCGACAAAATATGTATTGGTTAGCGATGTTTAACTCTCCATAAAATATTGTAACGAAATTCTAAAAAATAACATTACTGCAATTTCTTTGAAGCCTCGCATTTCTAAAAAAAAATCAAGAATAACTATTGTTACAAAACCTATGATGAGGCTAATAATGATATAAAAAATAAATAGGTTATTCTAGTTAAAAAAAACTAAGTTGTGTTGTACTGTGGCTCTAAACACAAAACACAACATACATATAGTCTAAAATAATTTTAGTGTATGCAACTCAAAAAACAGTAGAATTCTAGTCTGCAACTACTTTTTTTATCTCTAATTATAAATGAGATATCGAGAACCCCGCGCTCAGTGACTGTACTCTCTGTCTGTCTGTCTGCGGTTTGATTGTGTCAATTTATAATATATAGACAGACGATAATCTCCGCAACCACTGGACTGATTATAGTCAAATTGTATTTGTATTTTAGAAACATAATGTACATGCTAAAACGCTAACCGAAATTTGTCTTATCATGCCCATAAACAATTTGATGACGTCATCTCAAAATTTTGTATAGTAAATGCTGTTCAGATTTTATGAAATAACCCACTTCTATCGTTGCGATTTATAAATCTGACTTCATTTTATACCCCAAACAAATTTTTGTGAAAAAATCAATTGTATGGCATTTTACAATTTAACTTAGAATGTACAGTTTATAGTGCAGATATTTTTTAGAATAACTTATATAGAATGGCTCAAAGAAATTTATGCACGAAGCAGTTTATTTTGTTGATTAAATCAAGAAGGACACTCCACATTTTTCTGAAAATTTGTAAATACAGTAGGTATTGTTGTTATTAGAATTACATCGTCTCCATCCAAACTCATGTAAAAATTCATTTCTAAAAAGTTGATTCTTTCATTGCTACAATTTGTTACGAAAAAGTCACTTCAAACCAACACATAGTAGACGTCTTTACCTGTATCTTAACAGTCCACAATATCTTTATTTTATAACTTATACGGATCACTTAAAAAAAAAAAAAAATTCTCAAAATCAATTTTTATAATTTTTTTTTTGCTTCATTTGTATTCGAGATGCGAGACCAACTCATTTTTTTTTTAAATGGCAACACTATTCATTGATATAGCACAATTATACTTTCTTTATGATTAAAATGGCAAAATAAATTATTTTAAATAAGAATAAATAAAAAAAGAAAGAGAATAGTTAACTTTGAAAATAATTTTAATTTGACATGTAAGATGTTTCTTGCAAAAATAGTGCATCTAAGTAAAACTGAGCCCGTAGAATTATTAATGACTAACTGACCTCGTGAACTTCGTTTCACCTACAATTTAATTTTGAATCTGCAAAATCGAATGCTTTGAAATCTTGCAGATGTTTTAAACATATGATAAGCATAATAAATTTTTATTCAAAATATATTTACTTATCCCCTCCAAAAAATTGATGACGTCAGCCCAAAATTTTGCCAAATGAATCCTATCTAAAATGTCTAAAATAGGATGAGACTATACTTGTGATTTATCATTCCATTCATATTTTTTAGTTTTGCTTATAGGGGGTGTCCCAAAAAAATTAATCACTGAGTCAGTTTATTTTATTGATTGAATCAAGAATTGCAAAACTGAATTTTGAAATATTGCAGAGGTTTTGAAGTTACTGTTTGACATGGTAGGTTTTCAATCAAAATATATCTGTTTATCAAGCCCAAAAACTTGAAGACGTCATCTCAAGATTTTGCCGAATAAATCCTATCTAAAATGTGGAAAATGTAATCAGTATATTTTCGTAATTTATCATTGCATTCATATTTTTTAGATTTGCTTTTATAGTGACTCAAAAAAATACATGGATCAGTCAATTTATTTTAGTGAATAACTCAAGAGTTGCAAAAATGAATACTTTGAGATCTTGCAGACGTTTTAAAGTTATTATAAGCAT